ACGGGCGTAGTTGTTGGCAGCATCCTCCTTGCCGGTGATCAGCTGCTCAGGGTGGAAGAGCTGGCGGTAGGTCCCAGTGCGCACCTCATCTAAGAGGAGTTACCATAAATTATAGAAAGATTCAACTGAGAAGAAGCAAGAAGCAAATAGCTTTTATTAGAATGTATGTTTAATGAGAGTTTACCAATGACAGTGGGCTCAAGGTCCACAAAAACAGCCCTGGGGACGTGCTTTCCGGCTCCAGTTTCACTGAAGAAGGTGTTGAAGGAATCATCTCGTCCTTCAATGGTCTTGTCACTGGGCATCTGCCCGTTCGGCTGGATCCCATGTTCCAGGCAGTAAAGCTCCCAGCAGGCATTGCCGATCTGGACACCAGCCTGACCAACGTGCACTGAAATACACTCACGCTGGAGGAAAACAAAGCATCTTACTATCTAAAGAACACACAAGAAACTACTGTGCCATTGACTCCTAACTCAGAGTATCTGTGAGGTCTGAAGTTAACCGGTTCTTACCAGGATCTGATGCACAACTTTTGGTTTTGCTTAAGCTTGCAAATCTTCATTAAGAGTTGTTCAAAAAGAATGATTCATTCACAAATCTACCATCATTACATTGGTTACCTTGACAGAAAGTGCATAGTCCTCATTGTACACTGGGAGCTGCAGCATTTTCCCGGTCAGCATGCACCTGATCCTTCTTCAACTGTCCAGCTTTGTTTCTGTTTGGCATATCCTGCTGCTATGGCTCTGAAGCAAGATAGAGAGAGAGACAGAGAATCCACCTGGTGCTTCCTGCTGCTGATAACCAGGGAACCACCTGTAAGAGTCAGCTGCTTTAACCGACTGACCCACTCCCACAGTGCCTCCATTCTCCCTCACACACACTCATAGAGGGAGGCGTAGATAGAAAGGGAACACCCCAAATTCCTCCTCCTCCAGCCCCCTATTCACTGATCAAGCTAATTAGATTTTTTACTTAGTAAGTAAAAGTACCAATCAAATGATGTAAATTCCACCACAAGAAAACGCTTTATTCAGAAAACATCAATCAGAAATATGGTGGTAACATTTGTGTAAAGAAGATGCATTTAAGTTACGTTTAAGCAGATAAATTCAACACATTTTAAATAGGTTTGGAGAAATGCTGTATATGAGTGTAACTTCAATTAACTGAATGTAATGGGTACAAATTAACTTAATTTACCTTAACAAATACTTGGGTTACTTCTACTCAAATCAAATATTCTTTGGTTGCTTAAATTGTTTGAGTTAATAATGTTAAATGGTTTAAAGCAATCAGTTTCAGTTGAACTAACTCATCAGGTTTTACAGTGTATAATAGATCCACAATGGCCCTTTGAAACCCCAAAAAAGCATACAATTAGACTTGTGAAGGACACTATTTTCACGTTCTAGTCTGCTGCAGACAATATGAACTGCTCAGAAACTTGACTTCAAAGAAGGTTTGTCTTTCAAGAGACAGAGAGGATCAAGAAGAACAACAACGTACTGGAGAGTTCACAAAGCTCAACAGGTTTCTGCAGCCAGTTCAGCTTATGTCTCCTGTGAAAATAATGAGGACACGTTCACTATTGGGAGCACTGGTGCATGCAGGAAAGGATGAGATTAAGAGACGGTGTAATGAGGAGAACAGGAAGGGAGAATGATGGCAGGAGATCAGAAAGAAAAGTGTGTGACTAATGTTAAAACAACTCCATGGAATAACACGGTGGGAGTCAAGGGGAGGGGAGAATGCCTTATTCTTATGAGTGTTACAAACCCCCATCAGACCCCACTCTTAACCCCTCAGAGGCTCAGCTGGAGTGTGCATATTGTATGTCTGTGTGTGTTTGTGAGTGTGTGTAGCGTAGATTTGAGGCGGAAATTCCAGAAAATCTCGTCCTTAACCATGGAGTTTCATTTACCCCCTATGGAGGAACTAACCATGTATTTTAAAAGCAGTATAGATGTATTAGGAAGGGTATGAATGAATGAGCCGGGCCTGGCGCCATGAGTGGTCTTAAAGTGGATTTGCCCCCTCAGTTGTAGTTTTGTACCCTCTGTTTAAGCTTTATATATCTAAAAGGATTGGCCCGAGATACATTTGGCTGTCACTTAGTGGTTAATTTAGAATGACGGACAGTGCTGTTTGTCGTGTGTAGGCCTCTGGTTCTCAAACTATGGTATGTGTACCTCTTGTGGTACACAACCTGCCGTGAGTGTTACGCAGAGGAATTTCTGAAATGTTGAACCACTATGTTTCTACAGTAGCCAAGAAGGGACAAACAAAACACAGGCTTTAGATTACAGGGCCTTTTGTGGCCACCATCTTCTGTACACTTCACATGGCCCGTCTTCATTCCCAGGTCATCAAATGCAGATGGAAGTGGTGTTCAGTTAGTCGAAATCTGAAACTTCACAGCTAGCTGCCACTATATCCTATACACTGGTTCTTTAAAGGAGTGTCTACAGCAGTGGTTCCCAACCTTTTTCCTTAAGGAACTCCTTTTTTATTATTTAGTAAACTGACAACCCCTGATTAAGCCGTGATTAAGAGACATATTTTATGGATATTTCATATTATATTCAAAACTGTACAATTAACCCAAATAGTGAACTCAGTAACTGAAAGAAGCTTGGAGATTATTTCCTCTTATGGGAATTTTTTTTTTAAATGTTGTATTATGTATTTTCTTTCATAATTAAAACATAATAATACATACTTAATAGGCTTCTTTTCTGACAAATTCTGTGTTTCTTTGTCCCTGATGCTTTGTTGAACGCTGAGATTTAGGGTTACTGTGTATTTTCGTTTAGTTAGGCCTCACGACCCCGCATGAATCTTTGCCGACCCCTAGTGGGGGTCCCAACCCACAGGTTGGGAACCACTGTTCTACAGCATGTGATTGGTTTGTCCGTTCTGGTCTACTGTAAAAACATAGTGGTTAAACATGATGGACTCCATGGAAGGTGACCTGCAGCGTCTGTAGATAAAAACGTTTCATTCTAAGATAACAAAAATACAACAGTTCTTATTTTCAGATGACTATACACTAATGAACTAAAAACATACCTATATTTATATTATATTATATAATATTATGTTCTATTTCTGCCAATAAATCCTCCTGAATGTTACACACTGGTCCTTTAAAGGAAATGGGGTGGAAATGGTCATCTGGCTGAAGTTGTGACATTTTGACCTCTGTAAATTAAGAAGTTGAGTCGTTCACACATACACACACACACACAGCCTCTAAAACCCCCATATCCACGCCCCCCCTCGTCCTTGCAGTCTGACGACAAAGTCCCCTTTCCAACCCTGCCATAAGAGGAAGCCCGGGATTAGTGGAGATTATGCTGTAGTGTCTCCATAGAGATTTACTTGGCCTCAGTAGGAGGGCGTCTAGACAAAATAGAGGAGCGTCTAGGCAACAGTAGCCATGACAGTGGGTTTGGAGTTTTGTTGGATATATATAGTTTTATGAGACAGGTTTTTTTGTTAGTAGACAGATTTCAGCTTTACAAATCTGCATTGCTTGCATTGTTGTATTAACATTGAGTTCAGTTAGTTGCAATCTGAAGAGATTCAAAAGTAAAAATCACACCTGAAAAGATCTGCAAATGCTATACTGAGAACGCCTGATGCTGTAAAAGTCATTCAGTCCTAAAACTACATCTGTTGAACACCACTGCCCCCAAGTGACTGAAGTGAGTGGAGCAACAAGAATATCTCTATAGTCAAAGTATTTTAGATCTTTAGTGTAGTGTGAGCAGAGTTAAAGGTCTTTGTAGTAATAAATATCACTAAAAACTCTAAAACTTCTCACAAACTAGTGTGATACTGCCAAAGATAGCAGCATCCCTTTAGCATTTGTCAAACTACAGAACAATCTGGATTGCTGTTGGTGATGATATTTTCTTAATTCACTTATGTTTTGTCTATTTGCATGTGTGTTTAGCAGTCAGGGCCACCATATACTGTATTTTAACCTGCAGGTTAATGAACGCTATCGTCACGAGTGAATGAAAAAAGAGCTATTGTAAGTCCCATTTAAATTGTTTCAGATATTTTGACTAGTGATGAACAATATGGATATATTTTCAGCCAATAACCGATAATTTCACATATTTGTGTTTTAAAAAGAAGTTAATAACCTGATGTTCATTTATTTTTTCTAGTTAAAGAAACCAAACGTACTTTGTAATTTAAAAGAAATCATTATTATTGGCCCACAATTTAATTATCAGAATAATACATAACATAAATGTCCCGTTAACAGCCAATAATTTATCAGCCTTGATATATATCGTGACCAAATTTGATCAGTTTGCCATCGATGCAATCCAAGTTCGATGGTTAACAAACGCTGACTCAAATTTAAATGTTTGGGGAATTCCCTTGAGCAGTAAAATCAGACCACTTTTGCTTTCAAGTTATGTTCGCATAACTTAGACTAAAATCTGATATATTTCCCTGTAATAAAAACTGAAAATGTATCATTAAGAAGCTCATACAGCGTGGTTTCCTCTGTGGGGAACAGATATCAGATATATGTGACAGGCTGTTTATAATGCCTCTTATATCTTATACAATAACCAAGTAGATGTAGTGGAGAATAAACATAGTTTATCGACGCTTATCCATCTTGTCATTTTAAATATTATAGAAACTTATATGAATACAGAATATGTACTCAAACTAATTTGGAAAAAATTAAGCTAGTATGGTGGCGAACTTAATGGGGGGAATGGGCCCTGGGCTGGAAGTTTGAGATCGCTGGTGTAACATTAAGAAAGTGATGCATTAACTCACATAACTTTTAAATGAGTAAATGTTTTTGGTGTCTTAATCTGACACTTAAAGAAGCTGCTGTTACTGAAAGGATCAAACCTATCATGGTCTTGTATGTAAAACAATGTAAGCACAGTGGGTGCAATGTATGCTGCATAATTCCACATAAATGTATTGGTGTACAGCAATTTGTCAGATTAAATCTAAAATTCCCTTATTGGATTACACAACCTAAGGATTCAGATTCAATTTAGATTTTGAAAGACCAAACACTACCGACTAAAGA